TAAAATATTAATCAAATATCAAACTTTTATTTCAATATGGGTTTTTCTGGGAGTGGACTTCTCCTTTAAAGCGAATTTTAAAAATATTCTTAAAGCGAATTTCTCCAAGAATTTTGACGTATTTGAGTTTCAAATTAGTGTTGGAGTTTTTAAAGCCGTTTAAAACACTCGAGATCGTCTTCGGCTCGAATCTTTATACCTGATAAAACACTCTCTCTCGTGTTTTAAACTAGTATAGTTTATTTGAGAATGCTGCACTAAGAAATCGGTATATAGAAGGAAGAGGTGGTACAAGACAAGACACTTAAATTATTCTTACCCTTTTCGTATTTTCTTTTGGTCCAGTCCTAAACCCTTTCTGATTTTCAAGCTATTTACAACCATTCTTGTCTTCTAACGCATTTTATGCAATTAATTTTCTTTGCTGCAGTCAATATCAAGAACTCTACGTTGAAATCGCTGATCTAAATCACGAGTATAAAGTGAGGGAATGTGGTGGATGGCGATCATTTGAAGTTGTCATCAAAAATCGCTCAGCAGTAGTGAGATATTATTCAGAGATAAGTTACTTATACTACTGGTACTGCCGCTGGTACAGTAGCTGGTACTGGCAGTCGTACTGCAGCCAAAGTGTCCGCGTCTCTTTCCATGTTATTTCGCAAAATTTGGCAGCAGGTCAGTTCTTTTAATTTACTATAATTTTCCTTACTTATTGTTGTTATTCTTTTTCTTCCTTTCCTTTAAGACCTGTCCTAATTTTATTCTAACATGCAATACAGAAGCTCAATAAAAACTATCATAGCACGCGCTCTCTGATAGGTCAAAAGTTATTGTTTATTTCACCGTTAAAGCACGGATGCGAAAACGCTAGAATATAAAACGTAAAAAAGCAAAACAGTCGTGTCTGTTCCTTGTTCCTGCTTTTAAAAAATAACAATTGATTACAAGTACACACTAAATTAAATTCAAATTGATGTCTATTTATTACCAAAGGTTTGAATGCAAAGAGCTGGGAACCTACTTTAAAACAATCCAAACCTGGTGTAGTTACCATTGATTGGGATCACTTGACGCTGCCATCAAAGAACTATATTGTTGTACCGTTGTATAACTTTACCGAGACAAGAGAACCATTCTTGTACATCATTGAATTAAAAAATGACACATCAATAGCAGTGGAATACCTTAGACCATCATCTTCATACTCGTTCAAAGTCATTGCTTTCGATTCTACGACGAACAAGACGAGACCCTTAATCATAAGCACTGTGTGGTCTGTTCTCATGAGAAATGGTAACATGATAAGCTTTTCTGTTTATTGTTATGTAAGCGTTTTTGATCTCGAGCATTTTGTTCGATTGGTAATTATTTGTAGGTTAATTTTCTGCGGCTGACAGCTTATTCGATTGTTTCATCCAATAAGACTTGAAATTGCAAACACTATAGAGTTAACAAATTCCTTCGTCGAGTGGATCTACAACAATCTAGACAATGAGATGATCCCAAATGCGGTAAACGAGAGGACATACCACAAGAAACTATCGTGAATTTGTTTTTTACCACAAATAATTGTTTTACCAGTATTGCGTGCGTTTTGCAAGCTAAAAGACAACTGAAATCTCATTTCAAACTTAACCAAAACATTTATTTCAACAAATCTTGATACATACTTTTTTCTCTTTGTCTACCCAGTCAGGAATTAAATTTCCAATGACAGAAAAGTCGTGAAAGTCCATTGTTTTTCTTTAAAGTATAAGTTAATCGCGAGCAAAGTAGCGACCGTGGTATGTACTTTTATTTACCTCGGCTCTCGACCAATCAGAAAGCGAGAAAATTATCATATGTGGTAAAAAATCATCTTCTACCTGAGTTGCAATAAAGTGGTTGTTAATTAATTAGAAATCTAAATTAAAAAAATGCTTCTCGCTTCTTTAAGAGACATTGAGGTTAATTGGTGGACAGTTATCCAACGAGGGAAGAGTGGAAGTGTTCAAAAATGAATCTTGGAATACGATCTGCGCTTATTATTATTATTGGCGGAATATCAACATTAACAGAGTTGTGTGTCGATCATTGGGTCTTCCCAGTCCTCCTCATTCTCTGTATTATGGAACATTTACAAGGACGTCATTCCCAGCGCACTTTCTAGAAGATTATTATTGGTGTAGTGGAACAGAAAGCAATCTCGAAGAATGTTCACGTAGTGATACACAATCGATGTGTCAGCGCTACCCTTTTTACCAAGAGGAAGTGGTATGTGGACATCCACCAGGTAATCATAATCGCCGGGTTTTACTGCATGAAAACATGTTTTATGATTTATATTTTGAATTTATTTATGTCTATGAATACACAGCTTTATTACCCTTTTTACGTAACGTTCAATTTCTACTTACACATCTTGATCTTATGCACCATATCGATTGCTCAAAGCGACATTGTCCCCTAAATACGGCCGTGTTTTAGATTTTTTTCATATCTGGAAAATGAGGTGACTTCAGTTACCGTTTCGCTTTCGTCGTTTCCATCCGTCGATTTTGAGTTAAAATATTTCGATAGCTCTACTAATATAGCATAAAGGGTTAGTACAACGATTTTTCATTTTCGATAATAAGGTCGAATTGCGTGAGTTTCAGAATATCTTCAACTTAAGTGAGGTTTACTATTCTTCTGTTGTTTATTATAAATGTATATTTAATATATCATTATCTTTTTAGTCTTCCATCAAAATATCACTGCGATGACTGGTGTTATTACAAGCCCTGGATATCCATCATCCATGATGCAAGCCGATTACCGCTGGACATTCATGCCAAATTTGACAAATGGACGTGTGGTCGTTTATTTTGATGAGCTCGATTTACGGCGGCAGTGGCCTGAAACAGGGTAAATTACCATAGAACAACTTAACAAGGCATACGATACATGTGGTGATATAACTATATACGGTTTTCTCCTTACCCCTGTATTTTTATCACAGAAATTACGTTATAAAACCTTTTTCAAACATGTCTCGCGTGTGCTTCATCTTTCAAATTATTTCGCGTTACTTTTGTTACCGGCTTTTGATTCATCATTCACAATGTGGAGAGTGAAACCAAGCTTTGCGGCAAAAAAGCCTTTTTTCTTGCCAGGTATGCAAATTTATGGTCCACATACACACCAATACTACATCTTAGTTAAATCTTTACTTAACATTCTTCTACTTTTTGCTTTTTTCGGTTTTTATTTTAGACTTTTGGCTGATCATTGTATGTAAGTCGATTTTGGCAAATCCGCACACTACATCGAAAAAACTTTAATTTTTCCTTCATCCAAAAACACCACATATACAAATGGATAGATATCCACATGGTTGCCGCGTGTAGGGTTGAGCTCTAAGGTCTTGGAGTATGAAACACGTTTGTCATCCACCATAATGACAACAGTTTATCATCTCAGCCCCTGATGAGTAATGTTAAACTGGGTCTACCATGACACCAGGATCAATCCATTTGTATTTAATATACATGTATATTTCTTACACAAAATCACCACTCCACAACACACAAAAAACAGCACTCCCCTTAACAATAGAGTCCGATTACCCAAATACTTCTAAACTGTAGCGCAGTACGATGCCATACCTAATAATCACACCATAACACGCCATTTACAACCACTTTGCTATGTCTTAAAATACCATGTGATCATGTTATAACTATGTTCAACGTGGCGCAACCCGGTGGCATACCATGTCACTACGCAACGTCAAAAAGCACTTTCATAAGATTGGTACTATACTATGCACCCTACGATAAGCTGTGTGCCATAGTCTCCATAGTCTATAACTTTAATCGCTCGAATCGTTACAGAACGATAATCAGTTTGTTTTGCACTATAAACTAACACTTAATGGCGTTTCTCCGAGATTTTGATTATTCGCTCATTCGTGATTAGTTGTTTCCATGTCCGTGAAAAGCTAATACTTTTCTGGAGTTTCTGGAGATAATGAAATAATTTTTCCCAAGTTTTTATTTCCTTTTGAGGTATACAATATTTTGTTGTGTCCTTCAAGCACATTATTTACATTTCGTCTCAAGCGAGTCCGTGAAATGGATCAGTTGGTGACTCGAGAAGATTTGATGTTATGTAGGGTGCTTTGCTACATTATTTCGCTCTGCCATATTTTGTGAAGAGTTATACTATTACTGACGCAAGCCTGACCTGACAATAGTTGCATTTATATTCTATTTTTAAAGACTCGATCTTTAATACAAATTAATTCTGATTTGGAAATCACGCATTCTATTATCTAATCTACTTCGTTCTATGCTAATGTTATGCCTTCAATCGCTTCTTCAGTTCCAGCACTGTTTACATAAACGAATCAGGTAAAGTGTACCGCAACAGCTTGTATCATGGAGCTATAGCAGTACTCAGTTTATCTGGCCAACTTCAGTTCTTTTCGTCTTCTTCAACTCGTCAAATTATCAACAGACAACATGGCAAGGGAATGCGAGCTCGGTATTTTTCCTACAGTGAACCAGGTAAAATGAAGTGTCAGGTATTTTCACAGAAATGCATTCATTTTTTTTATAAACACGCTTAACGGGCATTTTTGTTGCTTATGACAAAGACAAGAGAAGGAGACATTGGTGTCAAATATCAAAAAAAATTGTACACGTCACAAAAGTGTTTTTATACGAAATTTGAAAAAACTGAAGGATCGGAAGTGTCAAGTGTCGCGGGAGGGGTACGCACTTTCTGCATCAACACAACATGCTATCACAGTTGTTGAAGGCATTATAGGCGGTCATTTTCATCAAAACGTAAAGAATGGAGAGAGAGAGGGGGGGGGGGGGGGGGGGGGGGCGGTGGAGAGAGATAGGTAGGGAAAGGGAGAGAGAAAGAGAGAGAAAAGGGAAACTGTAATTTACCTGCATTTTTTTACAGTGTCCACTCTAAAAAATTGGACATTATCATTATGGAGCCAAAGCCATGATAGCATAACTGTTGGTTGGAATCGGGTTACTTATCCAGGCTACGATATTCTTGGATTTTTGGTATCCTGCAACTCTTCGCAAGATTGGGCCAACAAAACACATTACGAATTTGGACAAAGCCATTCGACATCGATAACTTTGAATGGGCTTATGGGATACACTAAATATGACGTGCACGTCCTGGCCATGTTAAGAAAGGAAAATAACGGTACTTGTACGGCATACCAGAGTTCAAAGGCGTCTATAACAACTCATGAATCATGTAAGCTTTTTTGATACATTTAAGTCTAATACATGCAGTCTAGAATTCGCGACAAGTCAATTTATATCTCAAGGCTTTTCATAGAACTTCGGATATTTAAGTCTACAACTGTCTTCATTTTATCTCATCTTATTTCATTTCATTTGTTTTATTTCTTAGTTCCAAGGAGTAGTCCTCAGGAGGTTTATTCCACTGATATCACATCAAATACAGCAGTTATTGGCTGGAAACAAATCCCCAGAAAAGATGCTCATGGTGTTCTTCTTGGATATTTAGTTAAAGTCTACAATTATAACACTGCAAGATATGGAAAAGAAATAAATACAACCAATACATCAGTATTCTTAAATGAACTTTCACCTGCGACCGAATATCAAGTACAAATTCGAGGTTACACTTTAGCTGGAAATGGGCCATATGCATACCATCATTTTTCGACAAGTAAGTATACCTTTCAATTGTAGTGAAAGTAATGCTTTTAAAAAACATTTATTTGCAGACCGCATGGCACTATGATAGAACAGATATAGAAATGAAAGAAAGTTATAGTGCTTAGAATGTATCTCACCCCGACCTGCTCTCAGTCTGGCCTTGTAGCTCAGCTGGTAGAGCATCGGTAGTACAAATCCGAAGGTCGTGGGTTCGACTCCCAGAGAGGTCGGAAATCATTTTATTCCTAAGGGTCTTTCTCCCGGAATTGCCTCATTCTAAGCACTATAACTTTCTTTCATTTGTATCTCTTTAAAAAACAGTTGAATAATTTTTTGACTGCTTAAAAAATGTAAAAGATGATTAATTTCTCATTTTTAAAGCTTATTTCTTGTTTCATCATGCATGTCACAGATTGCAAAAAAGCCCAGTTTGAATCCAGGGGGGGACTTCCCTATAAAGAATGTAGGTATGCTTGACGGACGGATTGAATAATGACCCTAAAAGATACGCATAAGTTAATTCAGGTATCGATTCAAGACCCTAAAAGGTACGACCATTTTGACGTCTTTAACAAGAGAAAAGCTCAAGTTTAACAAACTGTAGAAAATCAATGTCTGTAGTTTGTTCAGGTTAATAAAATCTATTTCTGTATTAAAACTTCTTCAATTTGTTTTTCCGTTGTTCAAAAAATGACGGAGTCAGCTCAGGACCCTAAAAGGTAGGCGAAGGTTTTATTTTCGATCGTAAAAGGTCCGTCGAGCATGCCTACCATGCTTTATAGGGAAGTCCCCCCCGGGGGGTCTGAATAGGATTAATAAGAACATCGATGTGGTTTGGGAAGATTTCTCGAGCAGGAGATTAGCCAATAGCGAGTCCAATCACAGTAATATGCTAAATATTTGTTGAATTAAAGTAACTTACTGTGTTTATTGATCTTCAGAATGTAATTTTTATCTCAATGGAGACAGTGGGGAGTTTTCAATTAATAAAACCTACTTGCGTAAGCCGTTTAACTGCTCGTGGACCATTGGTAAAGGCAAAAGTGATATCAACTTCATAATTATCAAATTCGAACCATTTGATCTCGGTGATAATTGCAAGTAAGTAACTCTAGTGAATTTGGGTAGAAAGCTGTGCAAAAAATCGTATCAATGAATGGGTATTCCATCTCGAAATTAACAAAGGTTTTCCAAATATGGTATCAAACTCGTTAAGAATCATTAAGAATAACAAAAGGTCATGATGAGCGCGGGAGATTGGAAGATGGAAACCCTTCTATTGTTCATTCATTGATACGTATGCAATTAAGATTACTTC